TCCAGCCTCACTGGATCCCATAGAAGGGATCCCTCCAGCCTCACTGGGTGATGGGCAGGGAGGGGAAACATTCCCAAAGGCAGCAGAAATGCTACAGAACCCTCAGGTTCCCCCCCCACCTCACTGCCCCACCTTCCCCTCCCCTCCTGCCTGATCCCAGGGGAATCTGAAGCTTCCCAGGAATCCCCTGCCAAGGGAAGGGGCGAGCGGGTGTGGTGCAGGGTCAGGGGGCCCCGAGGGTGTCCCCCCATGGATCCCACATTCCCAGCCCCCCCAGGGATGCTCCCGGGATGGTACCGAGCAGGCTGAGGCTCCTCCGGGGGGGAGGGGGAGGAGTCGGAGGGTGAGGGGAGGTCAGTCCTCGCTGGGAGATGTCCACGTCCACCAGTGACACCGTTTCACCTGCAGGGGGGTGGAGAACACCCTGTCAGAGCTGGGGGGAGAAGGGGAAGGGACAGGAACCTCCGCAGGGTTTGGGAAATTATCCCGTCAGTTGTTTCTGAACCCAATTTCCCCCCGATGTCACACTCTGGAGACACCAATCGCCACCCAAATTTGGGTCCCTCAAGCCCCTCCCTCCCCGAGATCCCCAAATTAGGGTCCCTCAGGCCCCTCCCCCCCTCCGAGACCCCCAAATTTGGGTCCCCTGGACAACCAAGACCCCCCAAATTCGGGTCCCTCAAGCCCCTCCCCCTCTGAGACCCTCAAATTTGGGGTCTCTCAGGCCCCTCCCCCCTCCAAGACCCCCAAATTTGGGTCCCCTGGACAACCAAGACCCGCCAAACTTGGGTCCCTCAAGCCTCTACCCCCCCGAGACCCCACCCCTTCCCAAAAATCAGGCTGAACGACTGACACTGTTCCTGTGCCTGAACCCCCTCCAAGCCCAGCACCAGGAGGCTCCAAGAGGCTTTTCCAGCACGGAATTCCCATAAAATCAGAGCTGTGTGACACTGGGGACATGATCCCACAGCCAGGGTGGCACCTGCTGCCACAGGATTCCTGTCACACCCCTCTGGGTTTGCCTCCAACAACCAAACAAAAACACCTTCTGCCCCAAAGGCCACAAAAACCCTCTTAAAACTAATAAGAAGGCGCTGGACAGGCTTTGAAATTAAATGCATTTTAAATTAAAGTGGGATTCCCCAAAGCTTAAAGACTCTGGAGCCAGGGGAAAGTAATGACACAGAGGCTCTGAAAAGTAGAGGAGCTCTTAAAACCAACCTAACTTAAACCAGGGAAAGCTGAAAATTAGGCTAAAACCAACCTAACTTAAACCAGGGAAATTTGAATTATAGGCTGAAACCAACCTAACTTAAACCAGGGAAAGTTGAATTATAGGCTGAAACCAACCTAACTTAAATGAGGGAAAGTTGAATTATAGGCTGAAACCAACCTAACTTAAACCAGGGAAAGTTGAAAGTTAGGCTAAAACCAACCTAACTTAAAACCAGGGAAAGTTGAAAATTAGGCTGAAACCAACCTAACTTAAACCAGGGAAAGTTGAAAATTAGGCTAAAACCAACCTAATTTAAACCAGGAAAAGTTGAATTATAGGCTAAAACCAACCTAACTTAAAACCAGGGAAAGTTGAATTATAGGCTGAAACCAACTTAACTTAAACCAGGGAAAGTTGAAAATGAGGCTGAAATCATGGGAGAGGGATGAAAACACCAAACCAAATCAAGACCTCAATACCAGGACCTTAAATCCCAAAGGAAAAACACCAGCCATGGTGGGTTTTTCTCCCCCCCCCCAAAAAGAAAACCCCTCAGTCCAGCCAGGCTCTGGTGAACCCCCAACATCAAACCAGAGGATCCTGAAGAGCTGAAACGTGGCCTCGAGGACCAGGAGCTGCCTCAGATCTGAATTCCTGTGGGCAGGAGCTGCTCTCCTGCATCTCCCACCCCCTGGCAGGTGGATCCACCTGCACCCCACACACACACAGGGCTGCTTTGACTCAGCTTCCTTCTGCTTTTTGGGAGCCCTGGTTGTTAATGAGGCACGTTCAGAGGGTGTTTAGGGTGGTTATTATACCCCAGCCCCAGGGGATTGCTGGGGTGGGGCACACGTGGCCCCACACCCTAAAAATGAAGTGGTTGGGCTGCATTCAGCTCGTGCAAACACCACCAAAGGCACCCAGGCCGAGAGGAGCTGCAGTTAATTCAGCTTTTAAGCCCTGCCCAAGGCAGTGGGAGAGAGTAAGAAATGCTTCCCATGGACCAAATCTGCTTCCCACTCCAGCCTCCCCCCAAAAAACCTATACCACACTCTTCCTCCTCCTCCTCCTCCTTCTCCTCTTCCTCTCCTCATGTTCTGCAAGATCCCAGTTCCACACACACAAAATCTGGGAAATGCCTGGAGCTCCAGAAAAATCAGGATTTTAGGGTCACCAACTCACAGAGGCAGAGTTCCCAAGGAGAAGGTTGGGAAAAGCAAGGAGAGCCTTCCCAAAGGCTTCATTTACTTCCCAAAGTAAATGATCAGGAAGCTCACACAAGTTGCAAGACATTTGAATTCTGCTCCACTTTGCTGGTGGCAGGGTCAGAAAAATCCCCTCAGACCAGTCCTTGAGCAAAGCAGGAGCTCAGTGGTGTGAGGCTGGAGGAGCCACCGCAAAACCAGAGCAATTAAAAATCCAGATATTCACTTTGGAGACACTCCCGTGGGCTTTTCGTGCAGGAAAAAGCTCCCAGGGAAGGGCACTGCCACTGTTCCACTGACTGGGAAAAACTTGACACAGGTCACTTCAAAAAGAGGATAAAACTAATAATTAATGGCTAAAATTTTAGGCTAAATTTTACCTAAAACAGAATAAACTAATAATTAATGAAATTTTAAATCCCGCTGACTGGGAAAAAATTGACACAAGTCACTTCAAAAATAACAGGATAAACTAATAATTAATGAAATTTTAAATTCCACCGACTGGGAAAAAATTGACACAAGTCACTTAAAAAATAGTTAATTGCATAAATTAATAATTAATGAAATTTAAAGGCAAAGCTCAGGTCATCTCCAGGTTTTCCCCTGTAGGTTCTTGTGAGAAAAAGCAGTTCCACACACACACACATCACCAGCACACGGAATTATGGGTTTTGGGGTTTTTTTTCCCCTCAGAACTTCCCCAGCAGCAGCTGACAGAGCAGCACAGGCAGCTTTTTTTTTTTTTTTGCTTTCACCAGCCTTAATTTGCTTAATAAATTTGCACGTGACACGGAGGAATCCGCTGCAGCCACGTGAGAGGCACCAGATGAAGGGATGTGGAACTGGGGAAGGGACCAGGCTGAGTTACCCTGGGGTGACTCTGCTCCTGCAGGAGCTCAGGGAGCTCCAAGGAGCCCCAGGAGCAGCTCAGAACCTTCCAGGCACTGCTTCCAGGGAAACCACACCAATGCTCTGCCTCCAAGGTCACCTCTCCGAAATTCCGACTGGTTTTCACTGAGATTCATCAGAACTCTCAAAAAAAAAAAGAAAAAAAAAAAAAAGGGATTCTCCCTCTTCAGGAATCCAATCCATGCACTGAGCTCTGCTGTCCAACACCTTTCCCAGCAGGAAAAGAGGATTCCAGACCAACCCTCTAGCTCCTCTCAGTGCCCAGACACATCCTGGTCCCTCTGCTCTGCAACGAGACCCTCACATGAGTTTATTTTGAGTCTGACCTTCCTTCCAGGCCACCTCCCTCCACACAGCTGTCAAAAACTCACTTGTGACCTTCAGTTCCGAGTCCTGAGGTGGGATTTTCCCAAGTTCCTCGGGGATTCTCCCCAAGCCCTCTGTGGTCAGGACTGTTTTGACTGAGAGGGTTTTTTTTTCAGCTCCAGAGCTCCCAAGCCACCAGCAGAGCAGGATTTCCCCCCTCACCATCCCACAAACCAGCCAACTTCCCCCCAAGCAGCAGAAAGGGGAAGGTCACAAACCAGCAGGGCACGGGGAAAGGGGGGAGAACGT